TCTAGGGTTTAGGGGTCAGGTTTGAGGGTGTAGTGTTTAGGCTCTAGGGTTTAGGGTTTAGGGGTCAGGGTTGAGGGTTTAGTGTTTAGGATTTGGGTTTAGGTCTTAGGGTTTTGGAGAGACAAACAACCAAGACTCAACAAGTTGCTCCCTAGAGCTCCCAGGTACCAAAATAATCCAAAATAGTAAGCTACAGGGCTATGTAAGTATAGGGTATATAGAACCTAGAACCCATTCCGTAGCTAATTGGAGCCTTAGGGTGTTCCCAAACAAACATTGTTTGTAGGTTTAGGTCCTTGCCTAGGTAATGGTGGTGTTGGGAACAGCCCTTAGCTTTCAGGTCGTTTGGCTACCTAGGTAGGATTTAGGAGTAGCTTGGTGTAGGATTAAGGGTTTACAGAGGATTCGGGGGTGTAGGGACTTTAGTACTGTAATGGAAGAGAGATAGTAGATGCTGTAGGGTTTCTGTCGTGGGTTGGTAGGGAATGAAGGAATCGAACACAAAATGGAAATCCCTATGTGACATTACTAGAGACCACATGGGGCTCACACAGGCATCCATTCCTCAATTACACTCCCCCAAACTAACATGGAAACCCATGTAGTCCCCTTTTAGATGGACAATAGTCTTTAAAGGGACCTTTTTGGGTTTCCAGGTTAGTTTCCGGGAGTGTATGTGCTACTCACAACCACTACGTCAAACATTTGGGGCTTAGTAACCCTAAACCCTGAACCCTAAACCCTAAACCCACTTGGGGCGTAGCGGTACGAGGTCCGGGATGAGGGCATAAACTGGAACTCCCAACATGACCATCATATGAGCTGTAGTCTAAACTCCTTAAAGGGGGGTTATGTAGGGGATAATATAGGGGACTATTATAGGGGTTACTAAGGGGGATACTAGGAGTTTAGACTATAGCTCATATCCTATCATGGGGTTGTTATTTCAGGGCTTAAAATTACCAAAGCCTCCTTATCACCAGAATTCGTCAAATCTCGTTCCCTGGCTCTGGGTTCTCAGTAGACTAGCTCAAAGTTGACGGAAGGTATAGTTTTCCTTATACTGCAACTCAAGAAGGAATACATGAGGCTTCGAGTTCTTGATGCTATGCCAAGAAGGAGCCAGATTATTCAGGACCTCGGAGCTAAACCCTGAATTTTGAGCCCTTGGCCCTAAGCCGTGAACACCTTGGTTTAGGGTTTCTGGTTTTAAGGGCCAAGCACAAGTTTCCGGTATTTTGGCGATTGGACTTTGGACGGTCAGGAAATGCCGCTCAGCGCCGTGGTCGGCACAATTGATGTATGGTGGATGATCCACGTCCCTGGGCTATAGGCTTTAGGGTTCAGGTTCTAGGGTTTAGGGTTGGGGCTCCTGCTCCGTGACTCACCCTAAGCGATCATGTCACCAAAAGCTCGGTACTGGGGGCTTTGCTAGTAACAGTTGTAGAGTACAGGTTGTGGGTAAGCATTTTGGGCATTTGGAGCCTTGGCTTTGGGGGCGTTTAGGGTTCAGTGTCACTTTAGTTTTTTGGTGAATGAATACCAGGTTGGCAGCGGGGGTTCACATGTTTGCGGCGTATCTTTGTGGAGGCCCGGATGAGATATCACTGCTCAAAGACTACATCCCAAACCAAGCCAATGCCCGGAAGCTTGACGACGCTGCCTCCAGTCAGGCCTTCCGCATAAAGCCTCTTCTTCTAGACTTCCCTTACCCTAGGGCTCCCAGTTACCTAAATAGTAGGTGTGACTGGGCTATGCAACTCTCGGGTATAGAGTGCCCAGTTCCAATTATTTAGGAATCTGGAGCCCTAGGGTTAGTTACGGTTAGTTAGTCATGGCTCATTCTGGCTCAGTACCTTATTTGGAGTAACGCTAACACGTCTGGTATAAAGATGCTATGCTCCCACCCCCTTCCCTGCTGCGAGAATCATCCCAGCCCCTACGAAGTATGGTAGACCACACTGGTGTTTTGTAATATGCCTGCGCTGCTCTCCTAGCTGAAAATCCAGGTAGCAAAACATTCAGCTTGCAATCAGGCTATCACTCCGTAACATGCTATTCTGGTCCTTTACATTGGTAAAAGTACAATGACCTCATCCAACGGGTGGTTTATAGACAACAGCTCAAACTTGGGGGTTAGGCTTTAGTCTTTTTTTCTGAATCGCACTTATGTTGTGGAACTTAGCTGCCTAGCGTTGCTGGTTGTTGGTCGTCCGATGGAGGATTGGATCCGTATAGTAGCCTCTACATTACCCACAAAATGTAGTTGTTCATCCCGAAACCTCACACCCTGAAGTAGCTACCTTAGGGCTCCAGTTACCTGAATAATGGGTTCTAGGTTCTTTTCTATGTATCCTATAGCTACATATCCCAGTAGCCTGCTATTTAGGTAACTGGGAGGTCTAGGGTACCATATTATCCCAACACCCTAAACCCTAAACCCCTAAACCCTAAACCCTAAACCGGTAAGTAGCTAAGGACGGCGGCTTCATGATCCTCCTCAGCTGGCTTTTGCTTCAGTGCCTCGGAAAGCGTTGGGAGTCAGCAAGACTTAGTAGGGGATGAAAATGGAAAAGAGCATGGAAACTACTAGCGTTTAGGGTTTAGGGTTTAGAAGGAATGGGAAAGAAGATGGACACTACCAGTTGGGGTTTCGGATCAGGGGAAAAAGGAATGGAGAAGGAAATGGACAGTACAGAATCTGTCGAGGATTTCCATGGGAGCTGCTACCGAGATCCACAACCCTCAGCCCTAGACCCTAAGCCCTTCCTTACAAGCACCAGTACGAAGAGGGGTGGCAGTCCTCCTTCAGCTAGACCTTGTGCTTGCCCACATTTTGCTACTTTGCCGCCCTAAACCTACCAAGTACTGAAATGACTATCCCTATGCAATCCTTTGTATACCCCGGTTGCAGTATCTGCCTCTGTTGACGCCCCCACGTAAGCACCAGATACTAAACCCTAAAACCTAGCTCCTAAAGCTTAAACCTAACTGCTGAAGCGTAAGCCCTAGCTCCTAGAGCCGAAAACCTAACTCCTGAAGCACGCGCCCTGACTCCTAAACTCGAACTCCTAAACCTTTAAACCTAAACCCTAAAACCTAACGCCTAAACCCTAACTCCTAAACCCAAAGCCCTAACCCCTAAGCCTAAAACCCAAACCCGGACGATTGCTTTGCCCAGGCATCGCCTCTGGCGTCAGTGCCACATCAGGATCTTTACCATCACAGAGGCCGCATGTGAGCTATAGTCTAAACTCCTTTAAGCGGGTTATATATGCCCCAACAATGGAGAATCAAATGGAAAAGAACATGGAAAATGACATGGAAACTGCAATGTATGGGGTTGTATAAGGATTATACGAGCTATAGTCTACACTCCTGAAAGAGGGTCATTTAGAGGATTATGTATGACGATTATAGAGGTTATTAAGGTGGATACTAGGAGTTTAGACTATAGCTCATGTGCGGGAATTTCGGGAAGAAAGATCTTCCCACGCGGCCTAGGGTTTAGGGTGTAGGGTTTCGGGTTTAGGGACTTTTGCTGCGGAACCGAGAGGAACATATTACCCTAAGGGTCCAAGGAGTCAAATCATAGGGTTTCAGGTGTCAACTATTATAATATGAGCTGTATTTCGGCCCTAAAACCTGTGAATGGCATTTGGGTCCTACATCCAGATTATTTGGGTCCTTGGACCCTTTGGCTTAAATATGGACCTGCCAGAGTTCGAGTAGTTTGCTGTGAGGTGATGGTATCTGCTCGTACGGAATGACTCTGCGGATATATGGGGGTTTCCCAAAGTTAGGGGTAGACGACAAGTCCAACAACTTGCCAGGACTTCCTACCCCTTTACATTTTTTAAATTCCGCTGTAGTATAACGCCAAGGGACTACAAAAAATACAGGTGTAAGGAGATTACAGGGACAGGGTGGAATTGGCCGAAAGAAGGCGTGTTTGAGGTGCACGTGCCGGATTTCTGCTTGGTCTCCCTTGCAAGCTTCGAGACTATCCAAGATGCAACGCAGACCCCAGAAAATCCTCCCTCCCACTTTCACTGGTTGTTGCAAGTTTGATAGGTATCTCTGCTGTTGCCCTAAGCGCGCGGTGCCAGGGTCCATGTACCAAATAGCTTGGTAATTGGGATCTTGGTACTAGTTTTGCCGAAGCACCTTTGACATGCTTATTTGGTACTTGACCCTTCGGAAGGTACGACTCAATCCTGTCCCAGGAAGCCTCACATCTTCAGCCCTAAAGCCTATCCCTAGAGCTCCAATTAAGCCAGTGTAGGCACCATTTTAGACATTGGAACTCAGTGTGTGCTACCAATTCGAGACTTACAGCCCTAGGGTCAGTACAATCCCTATATGAGCTCCTGGCAGCATTCGCCTCCTAAAGGCACCCCGTATCAACGGACAAAGGAGTCCCTTTTGTAGTTAGTATAGTCTCTGATCTTTTCCTTAATACGGAATCCATGTCCAGTAATTATATGTGGAAATTTTGACTGTAGCTCAGATAACTCCTCTGAGGCCAGTCTCCATGTCATTCTTCCACTTGATTCTCCATCACAGAGCCCCAAAATATTCATTAGACCCTGCTAAATGCTAGGGATCCAAATAGCCCAATGTAGGTAATATCTACAGACTTTAGGGCCCAATGTAGGTATTATTTGTGTACTTGGATCCCTAGGGAAATGCTAAACCCAACCCCTAAACCCAGCCAGGGCGTGTCCGAAGAGCGGGCGAAGAATGCGGCGGAGCTGCTGACGCGCACGTTGCGCCAGCGAAGGTGGGAAATGCAAGTGAGTACAGGTCCCTAAGGATCCAGATAGCCGACTTTGGGATTCAATCTAGATAGTACTTATTCACATGGACCCCCGTGGGATAGAATGATGCTAGGAAGACTTGTAGTTGCAGTGAGGTTCTGCTCCCTTCCCTAACAGTACATGTTTCCAAATGAAGTGCCATGATTCTTAGGTGGATCATTTATCATGGGGGGGGGTTGAGGGAGGGGAGTACAAGTCCCTCTTCGAACCGCATGTGCAGTCTGTTGCAGACAGCCGGGTTCTTGCGCTCGCATTCACATGCTGCAATACATGGATGAGCCCGTTTGTCCGCGCACGCAATGTTGTAAGCATGGAGTTATGCCGGCAGGCAAATATTTGCCAAGCCCCATCTACCACCGACTGCGTGCCTTCTCCCACAGGTTGTTTGAAGTGGATGTTGAGGTCGTCATTGTCGATGACGTGACTTGTCTCTGAGAAACCAAAAGGTCCAGGTATGTCCAGACACCTTGATATCTTTATTTCTCTATATGTCTATACATAGAGCTTAGTATGGGTATATTTTGGGCCCGAAGACGGTTTCTGTATATGTAGTTCAGGGCCTTAGTATCTACTACCAAGGGTCCTCCTTTTGGTGAGGCTGGGCCTCCAAGGAACGGCCATACCCCATATGAGCTATAGCCTAAACTTTTTCTAGGGCTTGATATAGGCTACAATACTAGGGCGGAAAAAGGTGTATATATATATATATGCTTGCCCCCCCCCCCAAGATCTACGTTTAGAGTGCTCCCACCCGAAAATCCTTCCAAAAATGAGAAATCCAGGAATGAAGGTTTTCTCTTTAATTTCTAATCAGATTTCAAAAGGAATTCATAGAGGAAAATCTTTCCGAAAATGAGAATTCCAGGAATTAAGGATTTCTCTTGAATTTCCAATTAAATTTTAAAAGAAATTCATATAGAGGAAATCCTTCCAAAAATGAGATTCTAGGAATGAAGGATTTCTCTTGAATTTCTAATTAA